GGCGTATTTTTAGCATTCTAAAATGTAGAAGCAGATGGATGGACATGCAGAGCTGACATTTGTTACATAAAGAAGTATGACAGTGGGTCCCAAGTCCACTCTACAACAGCCTCGTCAGCCCGGGGAGAGAAACGCCCCAGACGCCACGGCTTCCCAAGGTTCCCCCCACCTCACCCTGGACTTCACGGGAGCCAGGAGTGAACGTGCAAGGTGAGCTGGACCACGTGCCCTCCTACCCAACCGGAACCCGAACCCCACCCCACACCAGGGGCCCCCACACTGTTTCTCCCCCTGATAGGAAGGAGCCCAGGCTCTGCAGCCACCAGGCTTCTGGCCACCGGGGCCCTAGTGCTGTGGGGGAGGGTGAACTGCCACAGACCCACGTCTGGCACACAAGGAGGGAAGGAAAAAGGCACCTGTTAAAACTCACCCCCTCCCCCCACTGGAAAAACTTAGTGAGCTGGGACTAGCCCGACACTGGGAACTATGGTCCCATGAGCACTATGGGGTCAGCCACACGTGGGCTCTGGGCAGCAATAAGGAACAAGGAAGCACCAGGAAGTAGCCAGGGAGTCACTCTCTGCAGGTGACATGACTGACCACCCACAAAGCCCAAGAGAAAAACTCGGGGGCCGTGGCACAGGGGCCATACCCAGGGCGAGTATTGGTCACGGAACGGGTTGCTCCATCCAGCACTACCTAGCATGGAACGTGATGGGGGGAAGGATCCCACTCACAGGTCCACAAAAACAAGCAACCAACGCACAAAAGGAATTCGTTTTAAATCTAGAAACAGCCCAAAGGCGCTCAACGTAGGGACGTGCAGGACTCGCAGGACAAACACATCCTCATTCCATGTTGAATGTTTGTCTGAACTGAAATCTGCGATGGAAAAAGTAAAACCACAGACGTACGCGAAGAAAATGCAGGTGGAGATTTCCAAACTGAATCATGTCCGCTTGTGCCTGGGAACCGGCTTCGGAAACATGACACCAGGCCAGGAGACTGCCGGAACCGAAGATGCTGATGGATCTGACCACACGAACATTAAACACATCCGAACCCAAACCCCCCACCAGAACTAGCCATCTTACCGAGTAAATGGCGAAATGTTCGGGGAAGCATCTGCATATCTGCAACAGTGAGAAGAACCGGGCAGCCAACATCCCACTTTGACCAGGAAGTGCTGGTCAGGGTGGGTGCCAGCAACTCAGAAAAGAACACGAACACTCCCAAACACAAAAAGCAAAGGTGATCAATCTCACGGGTAGTCAAAGAAACTCAAAGAACTCATGCAACCTCTAGCTTTTAGATGTTCAAAAGTAAAAACACCACCAGCACCCACAGTTGGTGAGGACGTGGGGAAAGTTTTTGTGGGAGCAGCGAGGAGCATATTATACACTGGTCTCCCTTCCTGGCCTCCCTTCTCTCTGCTCCAGGCCCTCCTTCCAGGCACTAATTTATTCATGTTTCCTTGTCTATTGCCTCCTGGCTTCCCCTTTGTCCAGGTACCCCGCGCTTGCAGCAGCCACCTCTATTTGGTCACCGCTGTATACCTAGCACCCAGGACAGCGGCTGGCTCTTGGAAGGAGCTGGACAGGCGTATCAAACTATTTTCCATGGACGGTCCTCTGACGTGGCAATGTCATTCCTAGGAATGTATGCTACTGAAATAAGGCCAAATGTGCAAAGACAAACATACAAACATGCTCACTGTTAAATTGTTTATGGTTTTTATAAGATGGAAGTGCCCTACGATAGGAATGAAGTAAACAGCATTTTGTCTGCAGAGAGGAAAGCTACCAGACAGTGATTACCAGCCCTGACTGCCCATCAAAGTCTCCAGGGGAGGAGCTCAAAGGTGTGCTGATGTCTGAGCTCACCGCTCACCCAGCCCTACAAATTCAGCCCAAGTTTTGGGGAGCGGGGCCCATGGAGTCCAGGTCACAGCCAGGGCTGAGAACGGCTGTTGTAAATCTAGCCAACAAATGGTGCTGCAGATTCATACAACATTCGAAACGTGCTGCTAAGTAAAAAGCCGGTGATGGCAAAACTGTGTACGGAGCACGCTCCCGTCTCTGTATCAAGGAGAAGCAGCGTGTTTCTGGACAGCTGAGTGTGAGGACATTCCTGGAAAAAGGCTGGAAGATGTACGCTGACACCTTCTCTCGGAGCTGGCTTACAGATGTCTTGGTTTTCCTACTGAGGACCATTTTGGGGAAAACAGCAAAGTGTGAAATCCTTACAAAGTGTGTAATACTTCTCTAATTAGAAGAAAAAAAATGCACACTTTTTTGGAAGGTGACTTGAGAACCGGATAGCCCTCCTGCACACCAGCACCAGGGTTCTCTCACTCCTGTCTCCCTGGACGAAGGCAAACCTCAGTGGTCAGCCCCTCCCTCCCAACAATCATGCCATGTTAGTGTGAGACAAGCCACAATGGCTGAGAGGGGTAGGTATCCCCAGGCTCCCAGCTTCTCAGCAGGAGGTGCTCTACCCCTCCCCTCCAGCCCAGGGGATGCCGGGAAGTCAGGGAGGGGCAGCATGGGAGGAAGGGGGCTGAGGGGAGAGAAAGAGTTGGCCCTTGGTTCTGAGGTGAGGAAGAGGCTCAGAGAATCCCAGATATGCCCCACCTCTGCCAGGTGAGGACAGCGGCGCTAGATGCCACAGGACTGGCGGGGATGGAGGACGTTGAAGATTTCTCACATCACAACTACGTTTATTAGTTGGAATTTACCTGGCATTTCGTTAAATTGCCCTCTTGTTTCCCTTCTTCTTTTGCTCTGCGTACTAAATTTGATACACTAATTGGGTGTTTTAATGAGAAAAAGTCACCAGAAGGTTTCACATTGCCATAGCAACCATGCAGTCCCAGTCAACGCGAGTCACCAGCACCCCCCTGTCACCAGCACCCCTGTCGCCTCTTTAAGTCTGCTCCCCGGGGGGTGGGGGGGCTACTTGGAGGGGATGGGTAACTTCACACCCTCCCCTGGAGAAGAGGTGGATTCAGGGGCACAGCTCCCCTCCCGAAAGACAGTCCTTTCTCCTTCCCAAACCCTTGTCTCTCCATCCAAATAACGCCCCGGCCTTCATGCTAAGATCCGAAGCTTCTCTCTGCAGACACGCTGTGACTCCTGAGCCGTGGAAGCCCGGAGAGTGACACGCAAGCGTGGAATACGAGTGGAACAGAGTGGCTGCCCGCCCAGACGTCTGCCCAGGGACAGGTCTGGCCTTCCAATCGCATGTGTTGGGTTTGGGGATGCGGCCACCATGCCCAGGGATGAGCAGGTGATGGACGGCCATGTGTCCTAAAAAGCAAGCATCTGCAGCCAGCATCAGTTACCGCCCACAAGCTCAGAGGGCTGGGGCCTGTGCCATCCTTTCCCGGGCAAATAAGGAGGTGGGGGGACATGGTAAATTGTTCCCCCATCAGATGGCGCGCATCCTAAGGAGATTCTGTGCTCTTTTCGCCTTTGAATGATCCACGAATTTTGAAACTTAACACACTCAGCACGTGGGAAAAATTCTACCTTAACAAGCGGGAGGCAGCGCCCTGCTTTCTGCTACGTCAACCTCCCTACCTGTGCCTCAGGGAGCACGGAGTGAAGGCAGAGAGCGTGGCCAGCTGACACCAGCAAATGCTGAAAACACATGCATTTCTCAGACGTGGTCTCCGCCTGCAGGAGGAAGCTGGATATAAATCTGCTTCCTGACTAGTTCCTAGTTCACCCGGGGCTCTCTTTATTTTGAGTGTTTATGCTAAAAACAAAACCATATACCGTGGAACATCCACAGCAGAACACATGAAAGCCGGTACCAGATCACACACTGCGCCAGCGTGGCTGGTCCTGGATGCCCGTCCTGGGAGTGCAGGCAACCATGACCCTCCCCTGCTGGCCTGACCAGCCCCGGCCCACACCCCTGGCCAAGAACAGGCTCCCGATCACTCCGGCTGACCACGGTCAGCCCAGGCCTGCACACTCGCCAACACTGGCCTGCGGTCGGACTCTTGTAATTTCCTATCATACTTAAATTATTTATCAGAAATAAATAGCTCGGGCTGTCACACTGAGCTGTGCTCTAAAATTATAAAAGACCCATCATACTCTGCAGGCTGCCTACAAATGAGAAAAAAAAAAAAAAAAAAAAAAGCAGATTTCAACTATTTTAGGAAAATGTCAGAAAACATCATATGTGTCATCACTGTAGCATTTAAATGTGTGACATCTGTGGAAAAGGGCTGTGTGATCGCATGTGCATTGCCACAGCGTCCCACAGGCGGGCACCACACGGCCACCTGCCCTGCAGGTGCTAAGTCAGTCAGAGGCTCCTGGTGCCCAGCAGGACCCCAGGAAGTGTGCCTGGACGGCCTGCTGCTTGTCACCTGCCTCCCACCACACCCATCTCCCTGTGGCCACGCAAGAGACACCTGCCTTCTGGGTGGGCAGCTTTCCCTGCAGGAGGAGGACCTGAGAGAAAACCAGTTCCCAAAGGGAGGTCTGTGCGGGAGGACTAGGCCTCTCCACCGCACGTCTGTGTGCAAAGGCTGGGCATGGGGGGGTGGGGGGGCATGTACCTGCACCTGGAGAGGGAGAGAGAGGGCCAGGGGACCCCCGCCACCTGTGGGGGACGCATTCCCCTTGCACCCTGGGCACCCAGCACAGGTGAGAGAAATGAGCCGAGCCGCACACAGCCCCTCACAGGAAAACGAAAATGTGCAGCTCTTGGTACCACGGGCGGTGTCTACCTAAGCCCCGAGCCGCCCGATCGCCACCGGACATGGAGGACGCAGGCGGGGCCCTGGACACGCGTGGGCACCGCAGGCACAGCCCGCCAGTTTCCTCGGAAACCAAGCAGCAGCCCTGGGACGCCCTCCCATCCCGTGGCCGCGGTGTGTGGCCGGGAGGAAACCCTACAGCCATGGCCCCCCTGCGAGGGCCTGCGGGGTCCCCACGCCGCCCCCGGAGCTGCCTGTCTCCCCGCCGCGAGGCCGCACTCACCGTCCTCCTTGTCGTCAAACACGGGCCTCCGCGCCGGGGCCCCCGACATGGACGAGCTCATCCGCTTCTTCCACTTGCTCCACGCGAACAGGGGGCGCGGCTGGGCGCGGGCATCGCCGGCGTCCCGCGCTCGGGGCTGCCCGGCGGCGGGGGGCTGCCCGGCCGGGGGCGGCGAGCCGGGGGGCGCCGAGGCGGAGCTGCCCCTGCGCTCCGCGCCGCTCCTCATCGCCGGGCCTGAGTGCGCCGCGCGGCGGGCGCCCGGGGCATGGCCCGCCCGCCGGGCTGGGCGCGGGAGCGGGAGCGGAGCGGCTGGCGGCGGCCCGGCCGGGCACTGGCGGTCCGTCCCCCCCGGAGGCCGGCGGCGGAGAGGGCGGGGCGGGGCCGGGGCGGGGCCGGCGGGGAGGGGCGGGGCCGGGGCGGGGCCGGCGGGCCGGAGCCCGGGCGCAGCGGAGCGCGGGGGCGGGGCCGGGGCGGGGCCGGATCGGCTCACGGAGCCTCGCACCCGCCCACCGCTGCGGGGCCGGGAGTGGGTGCCGCGGCCCCGGCTGGACGGCCCGGACAATGGCGAGGGGGGAAGGCCCCGTCCCCCGCGGAGCAGCCCGGCGGCCTCCAGAGGAGGGAGGGGGTCGTGGGCGGGACCGCTCCGCCCGGGAAGGTCCCCCGGAGCCGCCCACCCCGCTGCCCCCGGAACAAAGCGGCTCAGGGTCGCCGCCGCTCCAACCCGGGGACCCTGCGCATCGGCCTGCGGCTCCGCGCTCCCCAAGGGCGCGCCGGGCCGGCCGGGGCGCTGGGAAGCGGTTCCGCGGGAACCGAGGCCGGGGCGCTCGGGATTGGCAGCCGGCGGTGCCGCACCGGATGCGGATCCCACCCGGGGTGGCAGGTGGCTCCGGAGACTGCGCCCCGGGAGGGATGGGGAGCGGGCCGGGCAGGGGCGGCGGGCTGGGGCAGGAGCCCTCCCCAGGCCACAGGCTCCAACACGCATTCGGGGGTGGGGAGGGGGTGAGGGTGGGGAGTGGGTGAGGGTGGGGAGGGGGTGAGGGTGGGGAGAGCGTGGGGGTGGGGAGGGGGTGAGGGTGGGGGTGGGGGTGAGGGTGGGGGTGAGGAGTGGGGAGGGGGTGCGGAGGGGGTGAGGGTGGGGGTGGGGAGGGGGGAGGGTGGGAGTGGGGAGGATAGGAGGGAGGGGAGAGGGGAGGGGTGGAGATTGGGAGGGTGGGGTGGGAAGGGGGGAGGGAGGGTGGGGAGGGGGTGAGGGTGAGGGTGTGGAGGGGGTGAGGGTGGGGGTGGGCAGGGGGAAGGGTGGGGGTGGGCAGGGGGAAGGGTGGGGAGGGAGGGGAGGGGGGACGGTGGGGGTGGGGGGGTAGCTTCGGCAGGAAACACGTGCACCCGCGCTCTCGGGTCCCCGTGGCTGGGTCTCCGGTCCGCTTTCCCACGCGGGTGCCAGGGCCTCAGTGCTGAACCAGAGCTCTTGGCGCAGGTTCGCGCCCCAGGACCTCCTGGGAGGATCGTGTGCCTGCGTCGCCAGGGTCCCTTGGCCCTTCCTATGTGGGACAGGGGCCTGAGCGCTGACTGCGGGTCCTTCCACAGCCTCTGCCGCGTATTGGGGGGAAGGGGAGAGGAGTGGGGGGCGCCGTTTGGGGCTGAGTGCCTCCGCCTCTAATCACACAGCGAGGTGAGGTCCCTGTGGCCCTGGCCTAAGACTTTGTCACCGAAGAAGAACGGAGAACCGGTTTTGTTGTGGGCTGCTTGGATGCATGGTCACTGGGCCCTGCAGGGTCTCTCCGCTGGTGCTGCCTCTCCCTCCGGGCACATCCTTCAGCCACTCTGGGCGCTGCCGGCCCCTCACCTGGCTCTGCCCTCACCCCTGGTTGTGGCACTAGGGCTCCTGGTGCATGTATGGTCCGTTACATCCGTCCCCGCCCCGCCTTTGAACTCCACTGTGGCTCCTCCGCCTGCTTGGCCAGCGAAATGTGAGCAGAGGCGACCCATGTCCTCTCTGGGCCAGTGCTGACGGGCCAGTGCTGACGGGCCATACATCACTGAGGGACCGCCCGCCCGCCAGGGAGGACATGAGAGACAAGGGAGAAATCGCGTGTGAGCCACCTAGGGAAGCCCACCCACCACCCACTGCGGGTCCCCGGGCCTGGCCCAGGTGCTGGCCTGGGTCTTTGGTTAAATTCCCGGCCCCCCAGGAGGGTAGAGAGATCTGGGGGAGATAAGAGATCAACCGAAGGACTTGTATACATGTATATAAGTACAACCAATGGACACAAAACTCTGGGGAGGGAGGATATGTATGGGGGGGGGGGCAATGTTAAAATATGTACACAAATAATTTAATTTTAAAAATAAATAAAAAATTTGGCTCTTAAAAAAATTTTTTTAAATAAATAAATTCCTGGCCCCCCAATTTGGATGCAGCCTTCTGAGCTCCCACAGCCTCTGTCCTTGGCTCTCTCCTGGAACTGCCACTTGCCGGGGGGGGGGGGGGGGGGGGGTAGTCAGCGCCGCCTGCTCAGAGGAGCCATTGTAGGATTTCACCCCGCCCACTCGGTCCAGTCCGGGCAGGGATGCTCCGAAGGAGGAACACGCGCAGAGAGGTGGGCATCAGAATCCTCAGCGTTGCCACAGAAGTGGGAAAGGCTTCTGCCACTGCCATTGCGCCCTGTGGGAACGCACTGACCACCAGGGGGCAGCTCCTGCATTGAGCATCTGCCCTCTGGTGGTCAGTGCACATCATAGTGACCGGTCATTCCACTGTCCGGTCAATTTGCAGATTAGCCTTTTATTATGTAGGGTGATTTTACCTTTTCCAGGGAGAATGTCGCTCTGGAGCAGGCAGGCGAGGCAGCCATCGCCAGCCCACACTTCCCTCCGAGTCTGGGGCCGGCCACCTCTGCCAGCCAGACTTCAGAGGGCCAGGCCCATCTCTGCCCCCTCCCAGTTTCTGTGACACAGAGAAGCCCGACCTCCCCAGTTGCTACCTCTCAGAAGCACCCAGTGCTGCCTCTCGTTAAACTTCAACCTTGAAATCTGCCCAGGGGCTGGTCAAGGACAAGGGCCCTGTGGGCAGGAGAGATTGGGGAAAGGAGGGGACCTTCCCCGGCCCTCACTTCTGAAGCATTTCTACACAAATTCTCCAGGAAGCAGGGCCAATCCAATTTCCTGCATCTTCTTGCTTTCTGTAGCTGTCCTCAATCCTCTTTTTAAAATAGGCTTATCATCTTCTATCTCCCTGATTTATCTGTGACGCTATGAAGCGAAGGCAACTCTAACATACTCACGGCCATAACCTCCCCAGGAGAGGGGGCCCGGCCATGCCTGCAGGTCAGGGGCGTGGGGATCTGCAGGAACCAGCCAGCCCTGGGCCTCAGGTGGACTTGCACCCCACGCCACCCCACAGGCGGCTGACACCGGGGAAAAGGTGCTGGGCCTGGAGTCCGGAGGCTGGCTCCGTGCACCTGGCAGGGATGGAGACAAGGTGACCTCCTGCAGCCTCTCTGACAGAGTGGAGGCCTCCTCTCCAAGCAGGGCGGGCCCAGGTCAGGGGTCAGTTCTCATCAGATTGTGAACCTGCTGGTCCTCCACAAAGATCCTCCTGGAGAACTGGTTTCTCTAGAGTCTTGTTTTAGGGGTGAGGGGATCCCCAGTTTCTTGTGCTCCCGTCAGATGTGCATGAAAGGAGGCAGGTGACCAGAGTCTGGGAGCCACCCTGGGGACCCTCCATAGAGCTGCCTCAGGCCGCTGTGCCCTCCCTGCTCCTCTCCCCCCCTGTGAGAGTGAGTGAGAGTGAGTGAGGCACCAGGTGGTCAGTGAGGGGGACACACCTTCCCCAGCTCTCCTCACGGAGCCACAGGAGGCATCTTGTGTGAGCCTGGGGGGTGGAGGGCAGCCAGGAGATAGCAGCCCTAATGCCTTTGTACCAGAAGGTCAGGGCCAGGGCCCACGTGTGGCTGCCGCTCACTGTCCTCACTGGTGGGAGGTGGGAGGGAGAGCAGCTTTCAGCTTCTCCACCTCCCGGGGAGGCCCGCGCTGGGTGAGGAGCGGTGCCACTTCTGCAGGACACGCGTGGGCCATCCGCCGCGGGGTTCTGGCTAGAGCTCAGGACGTCCAGCTGGCAGCAAGCCAGCCTTCCTCAGTTTACCTCCAACTGCCCCTGCCTACCACGCCCTGCACCCATGGATGGAGCTGCAGGCCAGGGGCCACGTGCCCGCTGCCTCTGTGATGGCCCCTGAGACCCTAGCGGGCCCGGGTGTCCCACAGGCGGGCTTTCCAGTCCTGGACGCAGGGAGATCGGCCAGAAAAGCGTCCTTTCCCACCCATTTAGGCGGCTGTCATCCGAGGCCATGTCCTCAGGCCCAGCTCGCTCCTGCCCCCTCGCGGCCGTGCTCCTCGCGCACCACGCCCCTGGCTTCGGTGCCCAACCACCGCCCTCTGGGTGTGCGGGTCACGGGCCACCTGGCGCGGACCCGAAGGAGCGCTGCCGCGGCCCCTGCCCCGCGCACGCGCACTCACGCTCCTCGAGGCCGGGCGCTGCTAGCGCCCCGCGTCTCCATGGCGACCGCGTGTGCCGGCCTCCATTGTTGGGCTGCACCTCCCCGCGCTCCGGGCGCGCCAGCCTGTTAGTGGGGGGGCCGCCACAGGTGAGGCGGGAGGGGCCGCAGGGAGCGGGCCGGGGTGCCCAGGGAGGGAGGGGAAGGCGGGGAGAAGGGGGGAGTGAGAGGAGCACTGCAGGAGAGGGGGGCAGTAAGCCGGGGGGGGGGGGCGTGAGAGAGGGGAGCTCTGAGCTCCTGGGGCCCCAGGGTGGGCGGGCAGCTGATGGAGGGCGGTACCCAGGACAGGCTGCGCCCCCACGCGTGGACCGTTAGGCTCCGATGGGGAAATCGAGGCAGGCGCACTGGGCACCTGGAGCCCACTGCTCATGGTTAGGTCTGGTGTTTCGCTCTGGTTTTCAGACGTTTTCCCTGCTGGGAGGTTCATAGGAGGTTGAAGGCCTGCACAGAACAGGACTCACTAACCAGAGAGAGCCCAGGGGCAGGGATGGGGGTTGGGTGGACAGGGGGGAGGGGAAGAGTGGGGGGAGAGGAGAAGGAGGGAGCACTTGTGGGCAGCTCCCTCACCCCATTTTATGGAAGGAGGAGTGCATTGGTTTACAGACTTCGGGACGTTCCTCCCTGAAACAGCCATTTCTGTTCTGCGTTCTGGAGCTGAAAGTTGTATCCCAGAACGCCATGGTTCAGAGCAAGGAGCAGAGCGTTTTCATCCGAACCTTCTTGCACCCCAGGGATTTATTTTAAATTTAAAAGTCAAGGCGGTGATATCGCTTATTAAAAGCGGTGTTCTGTAAGCGGGTGGGATCCCCGCGGGTCTGCCGGGCCCCTGGCCCATCCCGCCAGGAGCCTGGCCGTTCCTCACTGTGGCTGTCCCCGCCCGCCCGCCCGCTGCAGGTGACCCAGGAGGATGAGCGGTGGCCCGAGGACTGCTTCCTCCCAGCTGACAGATGGAGGGAACCCGCCCCGGGACGGCCGACCTGGAGAGCGACGCCGCTCAGGCTGGGACCCCGCCGGCCGCCCCCTCCGAAGACATTCCCAAGAGTGTCCCCGAGGCCGTGTTTTCCTCCGCACCCATTCTAGACTTGAGTCGTAGAGGGCTTCAACATTTAGGAGCCGTCCTTAAAATCCCCACCCTTAAAGTAAGTGGGCGTGTCGAGTGTTGTGCAGGGAACGTGTAGACATAAAAAACAACAACAACAAAAACAACAGGCTTTTACTTGTCGGTATCTCTGCAGGAGAGACATTCTAGAATGAGCCAGAGGAGGGTTCACTGGGGCTTCGTGTGCTGTTCAGACCAGTGAGAAGCTCAGGTGTGGGGACCAGCCAATGGGGATACCTCGGGGGCCAATTCTGATGTCCTTTCTCCTCGAGAAAGTCTTGGGCACCAAAAAGCTTGTGGTAGACACCACTACTGAAAGCACCTTCGGTGTCTAATTTCATATATTTGTATTAATGAGAGAGGAAGGTGGAGCGAGAGGGAGATAAACACATCAGCCTCCTGTACGTCCCACACTGGGGATTGAGCCCGTAACCTGGACATGTGCCCTGACCTGGAATCGAACTGGGATCTTCTGGTTCATGGGTCGATGCTCAACCACTGGGCCATGCCAGCTGGGTCTCAGTCTCTTATTTAAAGAACAGAAGCCCTAAAAACCCAGGCAACATTGAGACAGGGAAAACCTTTCTCACCCACGCTTTGCTGACGTTTCAGGTTGATTTTACCGTATGCCTAGTGCAGTGGTCGGCAAACCACATGGCTCTTTGGCCCCTTGAGTGTGGCTTTTCCACAAAACACCACGGCCTGGGCGAGTCTATGTTGAAGAAGTGGCGTTAGAAGAAGTTTATGTTTAAAAATGTGGCTCTCAAAAGAAATTTCCGTCGTTGCGCTGTTGATATTTGGCTCTGTGGACTAATGAGTTTGCCGACCACTGGCTTAGTGCCGTCGCCAGGTGAGTCCCTGCCTGCTTGTGATCTAGCTCGTGTCATCACCTGTGACTTCTAGAATAAGGTTCCGTCGGAGCCCAGCAACACAGTCACAATGGCCGAGGCTGACCCGGCACTGCTGTGTGCCCAGCACTGCCCACCTAGTGTGCCACGTGACCTGTGTTACAGGTGAGCACTCTGGAGCTCAGAGAGGTTTGGGAACCTGCTCAAAGGCACACAGCTAATAGTTCCCGGGCTCTGCACTTTGTCCCGGCCTCCTGTGCCAGTGCCTCCTTTGTGATGGTGGCTTGGTTTCACCGGGAATCCCGCAGGGACAGCTCTGCGGCTGCCGATCACGGCTAACCCACAGCAGACCGCTCAGTGTGTGTGTCCCTCAGTTATTTCCTTTGGCTGCGTCCCTGGGACAGAAGGGGCCATTCCCTCACGGGGCAGAGTTGCCATGGGCCCAGAAGGGAGAAGAGGGATGTAAACACTGGGGGTGAGTGTGCTGATAAAGGGTGTTTCAGAAGTGGCCTGTGCTCATGGGGGTGTCCTCAGGTCAGGACACGCTCTCGGCTCCCACAGTGGCACTGGGTCCCGACGATTCCCATGTTGAGGCCCGTGTCTTCAGTTTAAACTTAAGGTACAAGAGTATGATTTCCCTTCTGACTTGATATGTGGGATCGGGGTGCCTAGTAGCTCCTCAGAAATGCTTCTGGGCTGTATTGTGTTTTAAAATTCAGTTGGTTGGCCCTAACCGGTGTGGCTCAGTGGGTAGTGTGTCAGCCTGTGGACTGAAAGGTCCCAGGTTCAATTCCGTTAAAGGCATGTACCTTGATTGCGGGCACATCCCCAGTAAGAGATGTGCAGAAGGCAACTGATTGATGTTTCTCTCTCATTGATGTTTCTAACTCTGTATCCCTCTCCCTTCCTCTCTGTAAAAAATCAGTAATATATATGTATATTTCTTTTTTTTTTTTTTTTTAAATAAAATTCAGTTGGTTGACCAAACATGGTCTTTTCTTTCCTGGGAAGCAATTGCATCTTCAGAGAAATGAGCTCTGCACAATCCCGCGAGACTTCTTTCAGCTGCTGCCCAACCTCACCTGGCTGGACCTGCGGTTCAACAGGATCCAGGCGCTTCCTCCTGGGATTGGCTCTCACAGGCAAGTCGGCTCCTGCTCCCGCCTCAGAGTCCCCTCCCTTCAGCGTGCTGGGAGCCTGTTCTGCTGCGGCTCCGCTCCATCTGGCCGAATTCTGACCTGAGAACAGAATCACTTAACGGTGCTGTTGAGGTGGTGCGAAGGGTGTGAAGGCAGCGTGTACAGATTCATGGGACCGTTGCTGTCACTCAGGACACTAAGTAGCCGAGGGTGCCCGTGCCTTTGCTGGGCCGGCCGTGTGGGGTCTGAAAGGTCTGGGTCCGTCTCTGACTCGTTGTGTGAAGCTGCCCAAAGGGTCAGAAGGACAACCACGTGCGTCAGGGCTGCCTCCTGGCGAAGAACGGGGCGTTCTTCCCGTTTTGGATGTGTGCTCTCCTGCTCTGACCCCCGCTTCCAGGACAAGTGCCAGGTGTCCCTCTGTTCCACCTGGGCCCTCCCCAGCAGCTGGCCGTCAGCTGGCGTCCTCAGCATGGCCTCCGGGAGCCATGCTCACCAGGAGGTCCCCTCCCCTCCTGGCCGCTTTGCCTCCTGTATCCAGTCCTCCCTCCAGAGGGTGCTGTGTTACCCTTCTGGGGAGCACTCAGGCCCTCCTCCTGCATCAGTGCCTCTGGGCGGAGGAAGCACATGCAGAGGCCCCGGGGTGGGCATGTGCATGGAGGTGTGAGGGACACAGGGAGGCCAGTGTGGCCGGCCCAGCTCGCAGGCCACCGCTGCTGTTTTGGATTTCATTTTGAGAGAGCGTCTGAGCGGATTGGGGTGGAATTTGACTTGGCTTTCAGATCACTGCACGGAGGGGAGAGAGGGCAGCAGTGAGGCCACGTAAGAGGCCACGTAAGAGGCATGCGCGAGGCGGTGCCCAGGCGAGGCTGGACACTGCAGAGCTGCGCTGGGCTCAGGAGCTGGCGGGTCTCAGGCTGCGTGTGGGCGCGGGAGGAAGAGTGGTGTGCGAGGGCCACCCCAGTTCTGACACGAGTAACTGCACAGTAGCCAGGCGGCCACTGAAACAGCGGGCACCGGCCCGCAGCAGGCCCTTCCCTCGCCGGCTGCTGCTCACCATTTTTAAAAGCAATTTTAAAGAAGTGAGCATTGCCCTAGGGGCTTCATCACAAGGAACAACAGCAGCCTGTAATTATTGGAATCGAGAGTCGAGGTCAGTGGTCAGCAAACTCATTAGTCAACAGAGCGGCAAACCGTGGCTCGCGAGCCGCATTTTGCCGACCACTGCCATGGACACCTATGTCCAGGGGGAAGTCTGTGAAAGGAAATGACTGTCAGCACGGGGTGTCACCGAATATTTCAATGTGTTATGATATAGGGTGGAGACAGGCCCTATCCCCTCTCAGGTCGGTCAGTGGCTGCCGGGTTGTATGTCCCCAAGCCAGACAACAACAAGAATGTCCTGGTGTTGGGAGGTGGGGCCCTTTGCCACGGCAGTTCTGTCGAGGCACCTTGGGAAGCCCCGGTCGCTGACCCCAGTGGTGGCTGCGTGTCAGCGGATAAAAGGGGGTGATACCCAGAGCGGCCCAGGTAACCACGCTCCCCGGAAGGTAAACAGAAAATTGTCAGCCCCTGTGGTCTCTGGTGCTAAATTGTACAAGTCATGCCAACAGGTGTCCAATGCGGGGAGAAAAGGCCCGGAAACCAGGTGTCCTTGCTTTGGGGCTTTCTCTGGCCATGAGCGTGTGAACCACCATCCTTGAGCAGGCAGACACGAGTCTCCCGATGCTCTTGACCGTGGAAAACGTTCGCACGGAGCACCTGGAAACGCTGGGTGCATCACCACCCACCTCAGGCACCCCCGTGTGGTGCATGTGTCACGGGGCACCCACCGCCCAGGCACTAGTGCTCAGCCAGGAGAATTTGCCCCCCCCCTCTGTGCCCAGCTGGCAATGTCTGCAGGTTTTCGGTTGTCACAGGGTAGGGGGTGGTCGGCTGGCATCTCTGGGGACAGGCCTCGATGCTGCTGAGAACACCCTGCAGGCACAGGACAGTCCCCCAGCCACGCATGGCCTGCCCCTGGGGTCCGAGGTGTCAGGCGAGCGCTTGGCCCCGATGCTGGGTCAGTGGACTGGGCCGTGGCCACGCTGTGGGTCTGCAGCGTCGCCGCTTTAAGGAGAAGACAAGTGAAGAAACGTGGCATCCTTTAGGGCCAGTTCCTCAACTTTCTGCTTTTTAAACGATCTGTGTTCTGTTTTGTTTTGTTTTAAAGGTATTTGAAAACTTTGCTTTTAGAAAGAAATCCTATCAAAATGTTACCTGTGCAGCTGGGTAAGTACTCAAACAACCCAACGGAAGGTGGTTTTAAAATGCAGGCTAGTGAGGTTGTTGCAACCTGCTGTGGACGCCAGGCATGGCCCCGCGGGGAGGCCCACGGGTGGTTCAGGCCCCTCGGCCTCTCTCCTCGGGTTCCCAAGAGCCGTCAGGGCTCCTGCATGGTCTCCACACCTAAAGAGTGATCGCAGCCTACTGGGACCTTTCCTTTCGGATCCATCAACTTTGCTTCTTTTTGTATTTTGATACGGTGTTATTGGTTGAACAAAAGTTTAGGGTTTTTCCATCTTCGTGTTACTTTTGGTGCTGTGGCCTGTGTGGCAGGCTCGCCCTGTGGTTTTCACATGTGTTCCCGTGCTCATTGGCACCCGACCTCAGTCTCCTGCTGGCCACCATCTGCGTGCGTGCGCCTTCCCGGCTTTGACTGCAGCCTCGCGTTGTCCGCCGCAGGCAGGTGTGGTTGGGTGTCGCTCTTCTGTCCAGTCTGATGGTCTCTGCCTTTTAGCTGGAGTGTGCTTCTTTCTCGTTCTCATTTCCTCTCTTCCTGCGACTCCAGTTACACAGGTTTATTAGATTTTGATTCTGTCCCACATTGCCTTGAATACTCCCCCCCACCCCCATGCTTTTTTCTCTCTCTGTGTTCCATTTTCTGTTGTTTTCCACTAGAGGCTCAGTGCACGAATTTGTGCACAGGTGGAGTCTGGCTGGCCTGTCCTGACTGGGGCCAATAGGGCCCGGCTGGCAGGGTGGGAGGGGACGTGGGCCTTTAGCTGGCCCCGCCCCCTGGTTCGAATGCCTGGTAGAGGGGACAATTTGCATATTAGCCTTTTATTATATAGGATGACCTGCCTTGAGTTCTAGGTCTTCTGGTGAGTCTAGTCTGCTGTTAAACTCATCCATTCAGTTCAGTGGTTTGCAACTAGACTTGAGATTGTGTGTGTGTGGGGGGGGGAGGAATTTTAAATTACTAATTCATTTTCTTCATTGTTATAGATTGATTCAGACGATCTATTTCTACCTGCATCAGTTTTGGAATATCTTCATCTGCATTTTTGAAGGAGAGTTTGCCAGACCCAGAGCCCATGGTTGACAGCACTGTGGACATCTGCTCCCCTGTGCTCAGGCCGCCACTGCTGTCGCCAGGAAGTCCGCTCTTGATATTATTGTTGCTGTTCCCTTGTAGGTGCGGAGTTGTCTTCCTCTGGCTGCTTTCAAGGTTATTTCTTTGTCTTTCAGTGGTTTGTGATGGTTCTCAGTGTGAATGCTTGTGGTTTATATCACTTGGGATTTGTTGACCTTCTTCAATATATAGATTAATGTTTATCATCAAATTAGAGTTACGTTGGCCATGGTTTGCTCAGATCTTTTTTCTAATCCTCTCTTTTTCTCCTCCTATGATTGTTGTTACATGTATATTAGCATTCTTGATGTTCCACAGGTCTCTGAGTTCTGTTGTTAATGTTATTTTAATCTTTTTTCTCTCGGACCTCAGCTTGCACACTTATTACTTATCCATCTTTAAGTTGACTTGTTTCTTTTGTTATCTTGTATATGCTTTTGTCATTTTGAGTCTAGTGAGTTTTTAACTTCAGTCTTTGTAATTTTTAAGTCTAAAACTGCTATTTGGTTATTTAATAATTCTATTTTTATTAACATTCCATATTTGTTGAGACGTGTTACTATACTTTCCTTGACTTATTTAATTATGCTTCTTTCGTTTCTTTGAACATGCTTGTAACAGCTGCTTTGATGTTTTTGGATGCTAACTACAGCATCGGAGCCTGCTCGGAGACCCTTCCCTCTTGGCTGCCTGTTTCCTGAGTATAAGTCCCATTTTGCTTTTCTTTGCATGCCTTGTCGTTTTTGGTATTGTTGAAGACAGGCATTTTGGATACGATAGCAGCTTTTGGTGATTTTTACTAGAGGGCTGCTGTTGCTGCTTCTGTTTATCTTATTTTACTTGATTTATTTAATTTTTTAATCAGACTAGTCTTAATCTGTTCCCCCCTGCAGGGTTTTGTGTTGTTCTTTACAAAAAACAATCAAACAAAAAACAACAACAACAACAACAAATCTCAGACATCTGTCATATAATTTTACCCAGAATTCTCACAGGGCCTCTTTTTCCTGATGTGGGAGTACCTGTCCTCTCCTGTCTCCATTGCTGGGGGGGGTGGGGGGGGGTAACGTGCTGGTGGCCTTCCTCTGCGCAGGGAACGTGACGACGCTGAGGGCGCTGAACCTGCGGCACTGCCCTCTGGAGTTCCCACCTCAGGTCATAGTGCAGAAGGGCCCGGCCGCCATCCTGAGATTCCTGCAAGGCTCGGCCTCCAAACACCCTGCCCGCCTAGACCCAGTTCCTCAAGGTTCGTGGGACAATTATTGCGACAAACTGCATCAAAATGGAAGTGAGTGCTTTGTAAAATCTGGGCCCAGGGCACCTCCTCTCTTTAACCATGTCCCGAGGACCACAGGGGAGCCTCACGTGTCTCCACTGGACGCTCCCAGCACCTGGCTCACACACGGTCTCCTCGCTGACAGCAGAGCCGAGTCTTTCCCTGGGCCCGTGCTCACAGGCTTGCATCCTCGGTGCCCACGTGGAGCCTGTCGGGGCAGGTTTGGGTAAAAAAGTTCACTGGGATGAACATAACGAAACAGTCCTCACCCCCCAGCACCTCACGTAACTATTTCAGGAATTGCTTGGTCCATTAGACAATCCATTAGACAACGATTGTCCATTCTGTAGACTTTCTTTCCTTCCTTCTTTCTTTTTTCTCTTTTTTTTAAATATATTTTTTTATTGATTTTTTTACAGAGAGGAAGGGAGAGGGATAGAGAGCTAGAAACATCGATGAGAGAGAAACATCGACCAGCTGCCTCTTGCACACCCCCCACCGGGGATGTGCTCACAACCAAGGTACATGCCCTTGACTGGAATCGAACCCGGGACCTTTCAGTCCGCAGACCGACGCTCTACCACTGAGCCAAACCAGTTTCAGCTCTATTTTCTTTCTTCCTCCCCCACCCCTCTCCTTATCTCCTTTTCTTTTCCTCACCTGAGGAGAATTGTTGAGAGAGGAAGGGAGAGGGAGAGACAGAGAGAAACACTGATGTGAGAGACACACATCGATTGGTTGCATCCTGCACACACCCTGACCAGGGCCCAGGGATTAAGCCAGGCTGAGGGACCCCACTTGTGCACGAATCCCTGAACCTGGCCTCTAGTATATATATAAAACAGCTAACTAGATTAGACTTGAAAAGCTGAAAATGAATTCACTTCTCACAGGAAGTAGCTTATAGTGGTCAGAGCTGTTTAAAATGTGAGTCTACATGCCTGGCACGGCTGTGGTTACACGAGTGAAAACCCCAGCCTGTCCGAGTGTCTGTGCCCGTGGGAACGGAGGCCTCACGCGGCCAGGCGACACAGGTCTGTGGGACACCGTGGCTCCAATGCCTCATGCGGGACCCAGCAGAGACAGGATGAATACATTTCAGGCTCATTTGCTCCCAAATAATTCACCTAGGGCTAGAGATCAGAGTGCCTGAAAGCCCGCCAAAGCACCGCCAGACACAAGCCGCAGGCACACAGGCTAAAAGCGGATTAGAAATTAAGACACCCAAAGGGTGTGCACAGGAAGTATCTTCGCTTACACGGGTTTGCAGGGACCGTGAGACTCTGGGGTCTGTTTGGAGCTCGGCCCAGGGCTGACTTGGGGTTTTGTTTCACTAGCGAAGAGCCTCAGCCAGCTGCCGTACCCCCTGCTGGCCTTCCCCGGAGAGGGACACACCACGAACCCTCAGGGGCCGAAGGGGACCATGTTGAAAGAGATGGAGGGCCTGTTCCCACCTGTGGAAAAGCTGGACCTGAGCGACCTCCAGAAATCCGCCGAATGCTGGGAAGACTGGCCGAACGAGGAGGAGATCCGGCGCTTCTGGAAGCTGCGGCAGGAGATTGTGGAGAAGGAGCAGGCGGAGGTGCTGCAGAACCAGCTCCTCGCCATGGAGCTGCCTCCCAACCTGCGGGCCGTGCTGCGCAGCCGGGGCGAGGCGCACCCCGACCCCAAAACTGCCCTCAGGTACGCCTCCTGAGCCCGGTGTGCCGTCAGGTCTTTTCCGAGTTGAAAAAGGACTTTGCAGCTGTCTTTTAAAACACTAGGGATGTGTGTGTGTGTGTGTGTGTGTGTGTGTGTGTGTGTGTACTGCCCTCACCAGCGAGGCAGCAGGACCAGCCTGGCTTTGGGCTAAAGTCACACCAACATGGGCTCCCAGTAGGTGGTTACACCAGAGAAAAGCCCAACTCCTGTGTGTGTGAGTGTGTGTGTGTATTCATGGCGTGTGTTGCATGTGCATGACGTATGTAATATGTGTTACATGTGCATGGTACGTGTTATGTATCATATGGGTATGTGCGATGTGTATTGTGTGTGCATGCTGTGTGATGTGTGTTGAGCATGCATTGTGTGTAGTGTATGCATGGTGTGTGTGTGTGGGTCTGTGTACGCTGTGTGAGAAGGCTGGGGTTGGAATACTGAAAACATTGAAAGTCTTCAGCCTCCAGGAAAGGTGTTGCTGTCCATTGCACTGTCCTGTAGATCTGAGCATTTTCAGAATAAAAGCCGTTGAGGGGTTACTTGCTGACAGCAGCCTTGGAGGTGTGGGAAGCACATAGTGTGGCCTCCGAGGCAGCCCGGCCTGGTCTCACCTCGCCACTGTCTCAGCCTCAGGATGGCTCCAGGCCTGCTGTTTAGAAGCCTCCTCCTCCCTCCTTCCGTTCATGTCCAGGTTGCTCAGGGGAGGCCGGCTCAGAGCCCACAGCCCGGGGGTGACCTGGCGGCTTAGGGGTGGGAGTGGAGGGCAGCACCTTCCTCGCAGGCCCAGGGCGCAGCTGGCCCCGGAGCCCTGCTCATACGTTGTGTGTGTTCCACCGCATCTCCCAGGTGCGTGTTCATCGTAAGGTTTTGTTAGGCCGTTGGCTAAAACCCCGTGTAATTCCAGAAGGAAGCCGCCCTCCATCAACGCGCTGCCTAGCCTGGCGTTAGCGTACCCGGCGGGGACGAGAGTAGAGCAGCTGGAGGAGAGGCGGGCTTCCGTCTTCAGGGAGCTGCGGGAGAAGCAGGAGCAGATGGAGCAGCGCAGGAGGTGAGGCTGGGCTCCGTGGGGTCCAGGCAGGCCTGGGAGCGACTCCTGGTGAATGGGCTGCTTCTCCCCGTTTGGGAGCCGGTGCTGCTTCCGAGGGCAGGCCTCTCGGGGCAGGTTCGCCCTGCACGGCCGTCTCCACCCATCTCCTCAAGCCGCCTGCCTTCTTTCATGCACTTACCTCCGGTTTCTTATCTTTCCCTAATCCGCCCTCCTCTGCTTTCACTTGCCTGGCTGGCAGGTCTTTTCTAAAGTACGATATTTAAAAGTAACAAGCTTGTCCATTCACTCTTACCCGTGCCTTGCGGGCCTGCTGCTGCCGCGGCTGCCCCTGTGCTCACAGGGTGCTCCCCACGCCCTCTGTCCAGCTCTGCTGACCGGGCGCCCGCCTTCCCTGTGCTCTGGGCCCTGGGAGGCCGGCCAGCATGGGCCTCGTCCACAGCACCCAGGGACCCCTCGCCTCTTGGTTGGATTTGGTCAGTGAGGAATGGGGGGAGGGGTCCCAGCAAGGAGGTCTGAGAGCAAGAGGAGTGGGAGGGCAGGACCTTTATTCCACCCGCCGCTCCCTGTAAATGCCACCTGGGCCTGGGCAGGTCCCCCACGGAGGCCCACCCTGTGCTTCTCACTCCTGGGTTCCACCCGCAGTCACGCTTTCCCTCGTCCCGGAGCCTGGCGGCTGGCACCACTGTCCCTGCATGGCCCTGGGGCCTGCCTGTCCTCCCCCATGAGCACCTGGCATGAATAAACCCTCCTGAACCCATCTCTCCAGCCCTGGAAGCGGACTTTCCACAGCCCCAGTTCTGAGGGAGTCCCTCCCTCTCTCCCCCAGCCACTGTCCCCTCTGGTTCTGCCCACGGTGGCGATGCACAGGGCAGGGAAGTGGCGCAGGGCACCGGCCCTTGGGGTGCCCAGGACCCTGCACGTTCTGTGAGAGGCTGGTCTCAAGCACCAAGGGCAAGTGCAAGCTCTCCTCTTGGTTCCTCTGCCTGGGACCCTGAAGCTGCGATCGGTGGATCCCTGGGGACAGTGCAGGTGGCCTGTCCTGTGGCTGAGGCTCCTGCTGGACCTGGTCATCTTATGACATGAGGCTCCTAAGGGCTTTACCTGAGGTCACACAGTCACAGCTCCACACGGGACTGCCGAGTGGAGAGCCAGGGAGTGTGGCTCAGCTGGGGGCAAGGGGACCACCCAGGAAGGGGCAGGAGACGATCTAGGGGGGAGGCCTCTGTAGGGGTGCAGAGGTGGGCACCAGGCTCTGACAGGAAAGCAGGGCTGCCAGGAGGACCAGCACCAGGGGGAACCTGGGAAGGAGGTACCTGGTCCCACCGCCACCTAAATCCCCTGGCAGCACCAAGCACGGGAGGGACCTCACAGGGGGCAATGGGCGGAGCCTGGGGAGCCATGAGGATGGAAGAGCCCATGACACAGGCAGGGGCAAGAGTCCAGGGGGCCACTGCTGAGAGGGGAGACCAGAGGCCAGATTTGGGGGGAAGAGGAGTCTGGGGAGGTGTGCTGACCACCGGAAGCTACGGGAGACCCAGGCAGTAGTTCACACGGGCAGATGGAGACCTGGGCCGGGTGAGGCTTCCCATGGGTCCCGTCCCATCTCCAAAGCCAGAAGCACAGCCCAGCCCAGCCGTCTCTGTGGGCAGTGACTCCCCTCGGGTGTGACTGCGGCGAGGTCAGGGTACAGCGGGCAACCCCTTGCCACGTGGACCCATGCTGCCAAAGCCTGGCGAGGGCGTGGCCACGCCACAGGGAGGGGCCTGGGGAAAGCACACGCTCGCTCTCCAACGTGGAACTCGCGTGTCTAAGGGAAGCTGACTCATCAGCGGCTCTTTCCCATCTTACGCGGCTGTGAGCGCCTGCGGGCCTCGATGCCACCGCCCGGCCTGGCCTTCTGGTGCCTCCCCGGCAGGGGCTTGAGGAGGGCCTGTGCATTTCAGAAGCCGCCCCCAATGCTGTGCCGGTCAGGCCAGGGTCTGCCCTCTGGATGGACGGACCGGAAGTGCAGGGCTTTTGGGTGGAGCTTTACAAACGACAGGAGGGAGAGTCCTTCACCAGGACCGCCTGATCCGCTGGTGCCTTTCCTCCAGAGACAGACGGGCCCTGCTGGAGTGGCGAGAGCAAGCCCACACGATGAGGAAGAGGAAGCGGGAACTCGGCAAACTCCGGCCTCCAAGACGGACGCTGGTAGGCGGTGCTGGCGGGAGGCGGGCTGCGCCGAGACCTGAGAGCGGCCGTCGGGCGCTGCCAGCCGCTTGCACGGTTGAGTGCCCCATGTTCCCGCCCCTCCTGTTCAGGCCTGGGATGTGCGGGTGCTGCCAGCGTCCCCCTTTCACCGGTGAGGACTGAGGCCGCAGGCCCCGGCGCGGGGGTGGGGCTGGGCGGGCGCTCAGTGGACCCGCGGTCTGCGCTCTGCACCGTCGGGAGTCGAGTGTTTGCTGGGTCTCCCTGTCTGTGGTCTCCTCAGCTTCAGGGAGGTCATCACCTTCGAAGCCAACAAGCAGTGGTTGAGCAGCCTCGGCCCTCAAGGTTTTCAAGGGCAAGGCCGCTGGCTCCCATGTCGCATTTGGGGTCTGAGCCCGGATGGACAGGGCAGCCACGGCTTGGATGTACCGGCTTATCTCCCACGAGCGGTCAGGCACGTGCACATGTGAACTTGGCACGAGGTTCCTTCAGTTCTTTTGTGTAAGGCACGTCCCCTGCTGGCATCCCACAGGGCACGGTTGCCTCTGTGCCCCCATTCTGGGGGAAGGCGCCCTGTGTGCTGTCCACCTCCCAGCGGGGCGGCCACGCTGACAGGCAAACACGGAGGGACAGGAAGGCTGTGGAGACAGTGCGACTCCCCACGTGTCCCTCCCCCTCCAAGTCCTCACACCCACTCGGCGTGGACCTGCTCCAGTGGGGAGTGGGCGACTGGACAGCGCTATCAGCGAAAACACACACACACCGCATCCAGCATGTTGTCCGCTGAAGCCAGCGATGGCGCAGGGCCACATCCCGGGGGCGTTTCGGGGCGCCCGCCTGCCGGGGCCAGAGCACGGGCAGGGGCGCAGCAGGGCCAGGGCAGGGAGCTCCTGCAGTCACCGGCAGCACAGGCTTCCTGCCTCTGTCAGCTATGTTTCCGTTAGAAACCTAGTGACTGCAAAGCACGGCCACGTCCAGTGCGTGTCACCCTGCTCTGTGCCTGGCCCTTCCTCCCGCTGTTCTCTGGCGGCCACTGAGCCGCCTCCGTGGACGAGTGTCTGTGCCCACAGCAGCGCCTCTGCGGGCTCCTGAGTGCACCTTGTTTTCCTAGGAGGCACCCAAGCTCCCCTTTGCCACCGTTCTGATGGGCAATGAGAAAAAGCCAGCGACACTGCTTGGGAGAGGGGGACAAGCCAAAGAGAAGTCGCTGCAAGCAAGTAACGAGCTGAGGTTGGTCCGGGGGTGGACTCTCCCTCCCGCCCCCCGCGCAGACGGCTTGGTTCCCACCAGCCTCTCCTGGGCAGAGGTCCAGACATCTGGGGGCTCAGGTGGCACCGACAGCGGGAAGGAAGGGTCCCGCCCTCAGGGACCGCTGGGCTTGTCACCTCCAGCCCAGGGTCCGCATATCCTCAGGGACCCCTCCCCCCTTGGAGCAGCAGCTGCGCCCCAGCATGTCTTTAGGCCCCCGTGTTCTCCCTTCGCTGGCGTGCCTTCTCAGCCCCTCTGCCCTCCCCACGGCGGTCCGTGCCTCCCCCTGGAGCCTCAGGCCTCTTTCTGCCTCTCTGCGCGAGCATCTTCGTCAGAAATCAGAGGGTGTGAGCCCAAAGCCGGCGCGCTCACAGAGCAAATAGGTTCACAATTCTCACTTAATTCAGTGTTTCTCTGATGGAGGGTTTATTACGGCCGTGGACCTGACGTGAAAACAGACACGCTCTTTGTCGCGTGGCACGATGTTCAGGGCCCTAAATGTGCAACATTTTAAAATACAGTGTGTGTCCCAGCAGCTTGGCACCAAGGGGAAAGGTAGGGAGAGTCGCCCAGGCCCGGCTGTGAGCTGGTGGCCTCTGGTGGCTCATCATCTCCTTCACTGCCTCACCCTCACGGGGGTGCAAACCCCAGGCTCTGCTTTGGACTGGGGGGGGGGTGGGGGGGGATGGGAACGATGGCTCCTTCTCCCAGTCTGAGGCCGGGCCTGGGCTCTGCAGGGCCTTCTGGGAGCAGGGCCTGGAGAGGAAGCTGCAGCAGCACATCCGGCAAATACAGGAGCGGAGGAAAATGTTTCAAGGCATGGCACCGTTCAAGGATGTGAGGAAGGCCTCGGAGGACCTGGAGGTGGTAAGTAGTTGTCTGCTTTATTTAAAAACCAATGGTTTTACTAAAAACGAGAGGCCCTGATCAGGCCAGGCCGGCCAGGGGAGAAGCCATGGGCAGTTGGTCACCCGCCCCCGCCCCCTGGTCGAACTCCCAGTCGAGGGGACAATTTGCATATTAGCCTTTTATTATACAGGATGGGAGGGAGCGTGCTGTGCCTCCTCAGAGCACGTGTTCGCTGAAATGTGGGTGGGGAGGCATTTCACGGGCTTTTTAGCGGGCGGAGGTCCCAGAATGACTTGGGAAACTATTCTGGCCACATGTGAGCACTCAGGTGCAAGGTGCCGCCTGACAGGCCCTGGCAGCAGCTCCTTATTTATCAGCGGAAACAGGGCAGGGACCTGTCTGTGGGTGCAGAGCTGGGTGGGGCCGTGAGGGCTTCTGCTAAGGAGGGGGCCTGGGCCTCAGCCAGGCCACAGGCCGACGTGCCCAGTGTCTGTGTAGGGTCACAGTGACCGGTGTGTAGAAAGCAAAATAAGTGTCTTTAATTCCACAGAAAACACCATTGTTTTAGGAGAGAAAATGTTAACCAGGGGATAAGTAGCAAATAACGCCTGCTGGTCACGAGGGATGTAAACCCCAGGGTTCCATTTACCCATCACGATGGGCCTGCAGATGGAGGTCCAGGTTCTGCCCAGGGAGATGGAACTGAGGGGACGAGGCCAGGGGGACGAGGACAGGCCCTCTTTGGGGACAGGGAGGTCCTGGCACTGCAGACACAGTGGCCAGCTTTTCTGGGCAGAGGCAGGAAAGGGCCTAGCTCCTTGATGTTGGCCACTTGCCACCCAAGGGCCACCTGTCTCATTCTCCACGTCACCTCCTTCTGGCCCAACAGATGGGCAGGGAACAGGGCATTCGGAGCAGATCCCACACCTCATTCCAGGCCCGGGGTTCCCTCCACCTCAGCATGCTGGGTCCGGTGCCCACGTCTGAGTCTGGGCCCCGCTTCCCGGGCAGGTGTGAGTCTCAGGTGGGATGGCAGTGGGGACGGTGCCAGCTGTGGTGACATGAGCAGGAGAGTGGATCCTCCCTGTCCCTTCCTTGACGGGCAGTTATATAGACAGCTGCGTGTGGACACCGGGGCCTCTTGGGGGCCTGGCTCTGGGGCCCGAAGGACAGCACCCGCCTTCCTGCACGGGACAGTGTGTCTGAGCAGAGACAGGCTGACCCCATCCCGCCCCCTGGCTAACGTTGTCCCCCTCCTTCCCTCCCCTGAAGGCCAGAACGCTGCTGGACGGAGTCATGAAACTGAGCAAGAGCCACGGGGGCCCGGCCCTCCTCGGGAGCCACCCACTGTGCCTGCCGGCGTTGCAGCATCAGAATATGTTTTCCAACACGAAATACTAAGCATCTGAAATTACTGCAAGTCCTAATGACAGCGTCTTATGTGCGATGCCGGGGACCCCGCCGCCGGCCAGCCGGGAGAGGGCTCGGCGGGGGCCGTCCTCCTCCACGCCTCGCACGCTGGGGCCCCGGGTTGGCATCTCCCTCGGCTCGCGGTGCCCGCAGCCTATGGCTTTGGATCTGCGTTGCTTTTTGTGAGGCTGGGAAAGGTCTCAGCTGCATTAAAAGGAAAAGAGTACTTAAACCAGCCACACGCTTTCATTTCTGGCGGCGGTAACAAAGGTAGTTATTTCCATGGGGCAAGCCGGCTCCCCCCATCCTGCCAGGTAGAAGCCACAAGACCCTCCTCCTGCCAGCAGGGGTCTCCTTTGATCTTTACCCTTCCCAGTGGCCGGTGACAGACCCCTCACCCTGCAGGAGATTGAAATCCAGCAGGGCACACCCCTGACTACCCCCCCTTCCCCCAAGGCTGCCCAGGCCTCCCTCTGATCAGCCGCTAAGAGCACTCTCTCCATAGGCGAATCGATTGCGTCTGCCCCAGGGTTGTGCTCTGAGCTCTCTGCATGCGGGAAGGAGGCCTGGGGCCCAGCTCAGCGGGAGGCCTTCCTCAGCCCCTGCTCTCCGGGGCTTCCACCTGTCCGTCCCCCCCCCCCCCCCACCCCACCCCCGGAGTCCAACTCCAGTCATGTCACTTATTTTAAAAATCACTTTGCTCCAGGAATCCTAGATAAAAGTCAAACACTGTTAGATGATTAAAGAGGAAAAGCTGGAGAAACATCCAGTGGTGGCGCCGAGGCGGCACATGCTTGATTTTACTCCAGCTTCAGATCTGTGCGTTTGTTTTGCTGGTTGGTTCAAGTTGCAGCGATTCCATTTCCGTCCTGTTGGCCTCAAGTTTCTCGTATTTTTCATCCAATTAGTAGTGACAGTCCCTTTACCTTCTCTCCTAATCAGACAGGTACAGAAGTCAACTCCTCCAGCCTCCCGACCCCTCTTTTTCCCTCCTCCCCTGTCCTGTGCACAGACAAGGACCTCACGGTGTTCTCGCCACCTCCCTCGGTTACCCATGCTAAGTGACAGGCCACATGCCCTTCCAGGTGGTCCCTCTGCAGGGAGCTCCTGGCTCTGAACGGGCAGAATGGAAGCTTCCAGACCTTCCTCAGGCTTAGGCGGTAAAGGAATGCAGCACCATTCCCTCAGCCTCAGCGCTGTGACCCACGTTCTCCTGCAGGTGGCGCCTGGGGCACACCGCTGCTGCCAAGGCCATGCAGGGCAGGGGCGGGCATCCTGGCCCACATGCCCAGACTCTGCGGGTTCGCTGTCTCTGAGGAGAGAGTTCAGTTTCTGGCCACGCAGTTTCAATCGACGTGGGGAGATTTCTCCTTTCGCCCGCACGGGGACATCAGCACTGACTGCAGACCAGGTCAGATGAGGACCTGGACAGGTGCAGGAGCCTTTGGCTGGGAGTGCCACAAATATACTCTGCCCCCAGAATTTCTCAATGGCCCACCACGGCCTGGGGTGCCCGGCCTTTGGGCTCCTAGTCCCAAAGAACGGACTCAAGAAGCAGCCAGCTGGCTTAGAATAAGGACCACAGGTCAACTGTTTTGAAACTAACGCAATTATTTGGGAAAGAGATGCCCCACCCTAAAAATGTTCTTGCTCAGATGCCTGCACACGCAGGACTCTTGGATCTGGGCCTGTGGGGATTCAGGGCCACTGCAGAGCACCGCCCCACTCACGGGCTCAGAAAGGCACCGGTTATGGGCTGGGTGGGGAAGCTTCCCAGGAGGTGCCGCCACCTACCAGGGCCTTCGAGCAATTCCACGGGCCCAGGTGAAATGCCAGCGGGGCGGTGCTGCACAGGGAGGTGGCACACGTTGGCTGCTGCAGCCCAGCCCTGACCGTGGCCCGAAGTCTGAGGATCCCGTTGCTGGACCAGCTGCAGGGGAGACCTGGGATGGTGGTGGTGATGGTGAAGTGATGATGGTAATAGCGATGCTGATAATGGCGGTGGTGATGATGGTGATGATGGTGATGGTGGTGATAGTGATGATGGTGATGTCTGGGAGAGAAGCCTGGTTGGCTCATGCACCCCACTCGGCCGTGGGCCTAGGATGGGTGCTAACACATGGTAACGGGTGCTAATCAAGCCCTAGTTCTCAAGGGCCTCATCTTATCCTCTCCCTTCCAGCATGAGATCTGCTGTGAGGTGGCGTGGGTCCAAGCAATAGGCCCATCTTGGCCCTCACACCTGTGGCCTCTGGGCGCTGGCTCTGGGTAGGTCCATGGTCTCTGACCCACGGCTCTGGCCCTAGGGCCAGGCAGCTTTGGTTCCATCTCAGAAGCACCTGGTTGGGCTGCAAATGGCCTGCCCACTGGGCCAGCCCAGGCGAGCTCCAGGAAGAGGAAGTGGGAACAGGCCCAGGAATGTGAGGGAGGGGCTACGGGAGTGGGAGACACCAACCACCTGGCCAGATGACTGGCAGCTTTCATTCTAGCCATGGGAAGTTCCCATGAGTCTCATCTCGTAGGAGAGACAGAGAGAGAGAGAACAAAGGCATAATTATGTGCCAGTTAAAAGGACAGTGCTGGACAGGGCTCAGCAGGCTCTCCTGTGGCTGCAGGGGTGAGGAGGTGGGCCATGAGAGCTGGGACTTGGAGAAGGTTTCCTGAAATACTAGCGGGGTCAGGGCCAGTGAGGCCAGGCTCCTGTGCGGTGAGTCCTGGAGCCCCTCCACAGATCAGCACAGAGGCCAGGACCCTGAGGGGGGGTGGACACGGGTCACCTCCTGCCTAACGCACTCCTGCTGCCCCTCCTGCTAGCTCATGGTCACCCAACACAGCACCAGAGGTAGTTCTGGGTGGTGGTCTGTCCCCCTCCATGCCACCACCCTGCCCATTTAACCAGTGCTTGGGGCAGGCCAGGCCCGGGGCCAGGTGCTAGATAGGCCTGGCGGTGGCTATGGTGCCCACAGGAGGGTGTGAAGGCTTTAGAGCAAAGTCCAAAGGCCTGGGAGAGGCTCCTGGTCCTGCTTCCCCTCAGCGTGGGGCCCCTCTGCAGCTCCTCCCTAGTCCCATTGGGCAGCCACCCACGGCTCTGGGTTCTGGGGATGTTCTTTCCAGGGACCAGCACACTGTCACACACCGCCATGCAGAGGGCTGGCCCTTGAGGGGGACACTAGAAGAGGGAGCACTGGGTCAGAAAGGAAGGGTCCTATGGGGTCAGGACCCCTGGGCTGACCAGGTTCCTGAAAAAAACAAAAACAAAAACAAAACAAAAACCAAATCACAAAAAACATCGGCACTTTCATCAAGGGCTCTGGAAGCTCCTACCACCTTCTTGAAACAAGAGTGGGGTGGGGGCTAGTAGGGAGCAGGTGGGTGGGCAGGTCACTCTGCAGCCCCCCTCCCCCCCGTCCCATTGGGCAGCCACCTTTAAACTTAACGTCTACCTGTTGTCCCTTGTAAAGTTTCCACCTTGTAGAGACAGGCTTGTAAATGGCTTCCAAGTTCACTTAAAAAGTACACAACACAGATGGGGCTGAGGCGGGGCACCCTTCTCACGTGCCCGCCCCCTTCTCAGCTCTGTGTCCCCCAACACGTACCCATCAGGCTCCCCTCCAGCCTGTCTTCACGTGTATCTGTTGCACCTGCTTCCTCCACAGACACCTGGGAGTTCCCAAGGAAGCCCCATTCCTCACAACACGGGGTACCATTCAGAGGGTCCCTTCTGTGCACCCCTCACTTTAACCCCGACTCTAGCTGCCCAGCCTTTCAGGTGGGACCCCTTCTGCCTCTGGGTGGATGTCTGCTTGCTCAAGCATCACCTCTCCCGGGCACTCTTTCCTGACACACAACCCCCATCCACACACAGCTCCCCTGTGCACACACTGGCACACCCCTACCTGTGATATTCCCACAGCGCTGGGCCAACTCACACCCTGGCTCCCTGCTCTACGGTGCTGCGCAGGAGGGGCAGTGTGCAGGAGGGGCAGGGTGCAGGAGGGGCAGTGTGCAGGAGGGGCAGTGTGCAGCGGGCACCTGGAGGCCCTGGGGTACCTATGCTGAGCTGGTGGCCAGCCTCTGGCCAGTCTTCCTTCCCGGTGCCAGCGGGGGTCCCTGCTCCATGGCCTTTTGCTCCAATGTCAGCCCCACCCAGGTGAGGGGGAGGGGAACTGCAAAGGCCTGTGGGTGCAGACAGCAGCCAAGCCTCTCTAGGGGCTGAGCTGTCACAGGGAGGGGTTGGCTGACCATGGAGAGGCAGCCGACTCAGATACCCGAGTCCCTCATCTCTCCTCCCACACTCATTGGGCCTCATTCTCCAACTCTGTACAATTGGGGGCACTGAGGCACTGCGAGGTCCCCGTGGCCCTCCGTGGCTCCGCCCCGGGCTCCGGGAGGACAGCTCTGCGCCTCACTGTCGCCTAAGGGCGAGCGCGAGCAGAGCCGGGTGGCCTCTAGGGTGCCTGGAGGCGCCAGGGGTGGCGGCCATGACGCAGGGCGGGGCGGGAGGGGCCTGGTGCGGGGCTCGGAGGGGCGGGGTCTGGCGGCGGGCGGCGTCCGGGTCGTCAGGACAACCGGCTGCTGGCCAGTCTCCGCTGCCCAGTCAGACTCAGCGGGCCCAGCTCAGGAGGCGGGCCGGTTCCGGGCAAGGTCACTGCCACGGGCTGGGCTCCGGGCGCCGGTGCTCGGGAAGTGGGGAGCTTTCACTGGGCCGAAGGCGCGCAGCAGGACGCAGTCACGGGTCCGGTGTGCGCTCCGCGCCTCCACCTCCCACGCCCCAGGGCCGGCCGGTTGCGCGCTGGGAAGCCCCTGTCCCCTCGCAATGTTCCTTCACACCGTGGGCTGGCCGCGTGGCCCTGGCCCCTCCGGCCTGACCGGCCGCGGCGGGGTGGCACGGAACCCAGTTTCCGGGCGATCCAGGCGGCAGGGACTTGCAGACTCAGTGGATTTCCCTCCCCACCCCCCCTTCACCTGGTGCGGACCACCCGGGTGCCAGGGAACCCGGAGCCCGGGGCACATCCCGCCGTAACCCAGGAGGGTGCCCAGGGCGCGGGAGTCGCCAGATGCCCCCCGTGGAGCCAGGAGAGCCGTCCGCGGCGGCACCCCAGCTGGAGTCCCTCCGGCGCCCCGCGTCCTCTCGGCCCGCCCGCCCGGCCGCCCGGCTTCCTGCTCGCCCCGCCGGGACTTCCTCCCCGCAGTGCAGGGTGGCCACTGGGCGCCGGCCCCGGAGGCGGGGGGCCGGAGCGCAGGGATTGGGGGGCGGGAGGAGAGGAGGAGACCTGGGCGGGAGGGGAGGTGCCCCGGAAGGCCCCGGGCAGGGTGGGGGAGGGGCCCTGAGCGGGGCCGGGAAGGTCCCCCGCCGCCCTCGCTCCGGCGCCCGGACCCTTAGGTCGGACGCTCGCGGTCAGCGCCCCGGGGGCCGGCGCCCCCCTGCCCCGCCCCGGGAGTGCGCAGCGCGCTGCACGCCCACCCGCTCCGGAGGCAGCGCGCCCCGCGTGCGCCCGGGGGAGCGGGTTCCGGGACCGGGGCGCCCGCGGGTCCCGCGCCCCCCGCGCCCCCGGCCCGCGCGGTGGCCGGGAGCGGGGCTTTGTGACGTCAGGCGGCCGCGGCGTCACGCGCGGGCTGACCCGGCGGCGGCGGCGGCGGGCGGGGCGGCGGGCGCGGGAGCATGGAGCCGCGCGCCGGCTGCCGGCTGCCCGTGCGGGTGGAGCAGGTCGTCAATGGCGCGCTGCTGGTCACCGTGAGCTGCGGGCCGCGCCGCTTCGCCGGGATCCTGCTGGACTGCACCAAAAAGTGAGCGCGGCGGGGGCGCGGGCCCGGGCTCCCCGGAATCCCCTCGAGGCTCCCCACCTCCGCCCGGACCCGGACCCGGACCCGGACCCGGGGCCAGGGCAGCGCCGGCGCCTGCTTTCGGTTTCCCCAGCCGGGGCTCCGGGCCCCTGGCACTCGGGGGCCAAAGTGGCTCTCCAAGTCCTCGCTACTTTTTGGGCCGGGGCCGGGGGGGCGCGGGGCGCGGGGCGCGGGGCGCGAAGCTGAGTCCCCGCGCCCCGGCCGGAACTCCGTGCGGCCACCATCATTACCGCACTTTTCTTTGTTGGACTCACTGTTGAATTGGGCTGTTTTGGAAATTGTCATCCGTTGGGGGCGGGGGCGGTGGGTCCAGATGCGCAGGACTTGCCCTGTCAGTTACTCACCACCGGGGCTGCCCGGTGATGTCACGCCGCCCCAGGCTCCTCGGAGCCACTGAGGCCGAGGGTTAGATTGGTGACCAGCGGTCAGGTCCATTTGAGAACACCGTGGGGGTTGGGGGGGAGCCCCCTGCGGGGTAGGAGGGGAGGTTTCTCCAGAGCAGGGTCCCCCGCAGGCTGGGGCAGGTCCTGGCGGAGACGCGGAGACACGCACCTGTGTGCTGCAGGGCCTCCCGCTGCAGGAGTCTCCTGGATACCGTGTCACATGGCGCTGAGCTGTCGGCAGAGAAGTGATGAGGCATGCACCGGGCCCTGAGGTCTGGGCACTCCTGCTGGGCCTCAGGTAGAGTGTGGGTCCAGGAGGAGCTGCTGTCCTCGCAGATGCCAGAACCACCCCCACCCCCCCCAGTGGAGCAGCCGGATTTTGCTCCCGTGGAGTGGATGTGACCGTCACTCTTCCACACTCACCCTGCTGGCATTATCTCTCGTTAAATGTGCCAGAAGCCATTTATGCACGCGTCACATGACTTAACATAAGGCCTCCCGGTGACTATTGTCTTGCTTGGAGTTGGCTACCGCGAAGAGCTCAGTGGAACCGAGTGCCACTTGGGGGCTGCAGCCTGGCTACCTGCAAGCTGCCAAGCATGTGCCCCAGGGTGTCCCCTGCCATGGATCGCCACACTTCTTCCCTTGGGCGGGGCTGCAGGCCTGGACCCGTCCCTGCTCCTGGGTCTGTGCAGGGCTGCACGGCCTTGCCTCCTCGGAGAGGGCCACTTGCAGCAAAGGTCCCCCCACCCATGATCTGGGCTCCCTGACGGGATAAGAAGGTTCTGGGGCCACCCTGACTCATAGCTGGGGATGTCTGCAGAGGCAGCAGGCGCCCTCCCTGAGGCCCGTGGCTAACTTGGGTTTGAAGATCCACACGTCCCCACCCCCTTCCCCACTGACTCTGGGAAGGAAGCAGGCCCGGCTGGGATCTGGCAGCTGTAGGACATGTGGGCGTCAACCCTCCTGCAGCCACGTTGGGCTGTAACCAGAGCTGCCCACAGAACCAGGAGCTGGGCCTCAGTGGACACAGCTCTGCTCGGCGGGGGACTCTTTCTGACTTGCGTTGCCCCCTGCCCTGCCCTGCCCCGTCCTGGTGGAGGGTCTGAAGGTGAACCTGGCCTCCTGGCCCTTCGGCCCTCTGAGCTTGGTCCTAGACCAGTGCCACCGCTCTGCCACCGGCCCACCCTGGCTTCCTCTGCTATCTCCCTGGTTCACCTGATTCCACTTCTCTGCCCCAAATATTATGATTACTGTTAGGATTGTGCGCTCATGTTTACAGCCTCCTGCCGGGCAGGGTCCAGAGGCAGCTGACACCCTGGCCTGGGTGATTCAAACAGTAGGGGTCTGGCCTGGGGCCTCAGCGTCCACAGCACCCACCTGACTTCCTGGTGACAGTTTCTTCTCCCTGGTGTCAGTATGTGATGGTGGCAGGGCTGGGTGTGAGCACTGATGAGCATGCGTCCCTCATGACTGCCATGTATCAGCCGCTGCCTGGGTGCCCGTGCAGACCCGGGGGCCTGGGAGCCCTGTGCAGTCTCTATCACAGTGTCTGCTGGAAGGGAGCCGTCCCCTGGGAGGGGCCATTCCCACAAACTCCTGGTCTCCCTCCTGTAGGGGGGCCCAGCAGCCAGTGTTAATGGTTGGCGTTTGGGAGGTAGGTCCTTCCCTTAGGGCCCTGGGAGGCTGGTTCTCTTCCCTGAAGGTTGGCAAAGGGGAGAGGAGCGGGCAGGCCAGGAGAGCCTCAGCAGGTGCCGAGGTGGGCTGCGTGCGGAGCGCCTCCACCTGTCCATCGTCCATCCGAGTTTGCAACGTGCTGCCCAGCTGCTGTGTGATTTGAACCAAGATCCCCAGGGGCTCAGAGTGCCCGCCGGCTCATGGGTTTGCATGCATTCCTCCTGTGTGCCAGGAAGTGGGCTGTCCATGCAGACTACTGAGAATGGCCCTCCCAGCGTCTCCACAGGCACAGCAATGATACAGGGGGCCCAGGCCTGCCCTGCTCTCACCCTCCAGGCTGGGTGCGGGGCTCTGGGCATTTTGTGGGTGGTTTGGGAGTACACCCCTAGTTGAGGATCTCAAGTGAGATGGCGCAAGGACAGCAGAGGCTCAGAGTGGTGCAGGGATGGTCTCACAGACAGTGGGTTTGAGGGTCAGTTGCTGGCCAGGCCTCCAGCCTTGACCTCCAAGCCTGTGTTGGTCAAACTCACCCAGGGAGCCATTAGCATGCAAGACTCTTGGGCCCTTTGCTGGAAAGGTTGGGGTTCAGGCCTTTGGACCCACACTCCACCCTAGGGGGTTGGGACCTAGGCCTCTGGAGACTTGACCAGCCAACAGTCTCTGGGCAGGAAAGCACTCACTCCATGCTGGGCACACCCACTGTCCAGAAGGGAGACTTGGCCGCTGCTGGCTGCTCCCGAGACAATTCACTGGACAGATACCTGGTCCAGAGCACACTGCGTGTACCCTCCCTGCCCTGGGAAGCTAGATGGACGGAGAGTGAGGTGCCCAGTGTGTCATATGGCGGTAGACCTACAGCCAGCAGGCAGGGGCCACTCAAGGGGCCTGATCTCCGGAGCTTACGCCAGCCGGTGGCAAGGGGTGTGGGCTGGGGCCTAGCCTCGTGCTGCTGCGGGAGTCCTCGGGGGCTTAGAGAGGATGTAGGCAGCTGGATTTTCTTGAAATGACACTGATGGTTATTAAACCTTTTAGTCCAGGACTCGGGGGCCAGCTGTGACCACCTGGTCCTGTGGCTGTCCCTGATGACCCTGGGGGAAGGGTGGGCCCCCCTGTGTGGACACCAGAGTAGCCCAGACTGTGACTGCCCCTGCAACCTATTTTCCCGATTTTCTGAACAGAGGGGGACCCAGAGGCGCCCATGCTGCAGCAGGCCTCGTATGCCTCTGTCCCGGGCACAGGACAGTGGGCACAGCCCTGTGGGAGGGGCCGGGCCCTGTGGGTGAGCCCTAATCCCCAGTGGTGCCAGGCCCGGTGCCCCAGGGTGCAGTAAAGGTCTTCCTTCTGGGGCCACGCTGCCGAGGTCCTTCGGGGAGAGAGGCCTGCAGGCAGCAGGGCGGGGCCGTGAGCACAGGCCCGCCCGGCTCTCAGCCTCTCTGAGCCTCACTGTCCTCTCTGTAAACTTGGGTGGCGGTGATGACGTGCCGCTCATGGGGCTAGGGAAAGGGTGTGGGAGCTGGAGGCCAGCCGCCCGGGCACCCACCCTGGGATCCGCAGCCAGGGACCGAGCCGTCCTGCCCCACCGGCCGCTGTTTACCCACCAGGCAGTGGTGGGTGTGGCCTGGTCAGGGCAGCAGCTCCGGGAAGGAAGTATGGCTGCTTGTCATGCCAGAGTCACGGGGCCTTCTCTGTCGGCCGTGGGGCCCTTCCCCAGGGCTGCACTGCTGTCCGGAAGGCGCCCCTCAGCCCCAGCCACGGCTCTGGGCTGAGGGGGTGCTTAGGGAGGGCCGGGGCACGTCTGTTCTCTGGCCCGGGGCTCCATGCACCGGAAGCTGCTTCCGAATGTGATGAGCCGGGCGGGGAGGGTTCGGCTGCCACTCTGGCCTGTGCCTGGGGGTTGCCAGTCAGCCCACCCAGGGGCCCACTCGGAGATCTCTGGCTCCAGTCTGGGTCTCTGCCAAGGGCCCTGTATCCATGCTATACATGCAAGGCCCCCCCCCCCCCCCCGAGGGGCACGTACCAGAAATGGGCGGCAAAAACCTCCCAGGACTGAAGCTGTGGGGACTTCAGGGATGGGGCCAACTTGCCCTACACCCCACTCTGCAGTCTGTACGTGGAGAGAGATCACCCAGGAGCCTCGCACCCTGGGCAGGACGGCCCAGGGCACGGTCTGTGCCTGGGTCCTGCCGTGGAGGGCTCTGCTCCAGCACAGGCAGGTGGGATGGGGTGCAGGCCAAGGGGTTGGGGGCAGGTAGGAAGTGGAGGCCAAGGAGGGGGTCTGGGCTGGGTCTGAGAGGGGCCTGGGAGAGTGGCTTAATGAGGGTGCTGATGAAAAGGAGGGTGTTGGAGTGGACCCCAGTTCACGGTCCGAATGCCTGTAAAAGGGGCAGGAAAGTGGGCTTTGGGGGAGGCCTCGGGAACAACCCTCCCATTCAGAGGTGTGTGGTGGACCCCCGGTCTGTGGGTCCCCCAGACCATGGACTCCCTGGATGGATAGGAAAGGTAAGAAAGTTAAAAGTGTGTTTTGATTCCCAGTGGTCTTGAATTAGACACAAACTGGGCAGTGTTCAGAGGCCCAGCGTGCCCTCCAAGTTCACGTCCTCAGCATCGTGCAGTAAGGACCATGGGGAGGGGACAGCCCTGTGGTCACGCACATGGCCTGCTTCATGGGGCCTTGTCGGGGCTCTGAGTTCTGTTTCTGGTGTAGGCTGCACCGTGCTCCTGGCCTGCTCATGTCCCCGTCCGAGGGTCTGGTGAGCCGCCCGGCATGCAGGGGATGGTGACGTCATGCATGGTCAGCCCCTCCAGGCACCCCTAGGTCCGGGAGACCAGTCAGGGGGGAACATCTGCAGGTTGGGAAGCAGCAACGTCATCTGTCTTTCCTTCTCTCTGATTGAGTTCGGAACGGAAGGTAACGATGCCACGTTCCAAACCGGGTTCCTTAGAACTCGGCTAAACGTCTATTTTTGTGCTTAGCAATAACAGCTTTTAGCTAAAGCAGCCTTTAAGTCACGTTTGTTTGGAAGGAACGTGTGTTCGCGGGGAAGGGAGGTGCGGACTCTGGGGGCTTGCTTGTCGCTGTTTGCAACAATGTAGGTGTATCCAGGCTGCACCCTCAGGAGCTGTGAATCAGATGCGACTCCTGACCATCACAGCACTCCGGCCTCCAGAATGGTGTGGCGGTCGGGCGGTTGTGTCTGGTGACCCTGTGTTCTAGAAGGCACACTGCCCCCCACCCTGACCCCCGCTTTCAACAGCACAGCCCCTGAAGCCACCCGAGGTGCGTGGCTCAGCGCTCCTGGGGAGGGAGCAGGCCCGGCAGGTCAGCTGAGCCTCCTGCCTTCTCGGGTCCACTTCCTGCAGGTCACGTGACCTTGTTGGTTCTGGCTGCTTCCTGTGCTGGCGCTGGGGACCAGGCAGGAGGGGTCCTTTCAGATGGTTGTGGGCAAGGGTCGCATGGATGATACCCTCATCGGAGGGCATTGGAAGCAATTGGGCACCTCAGGATGGAGTGGGTCACCTCCAGGCCCAGGGTGCTGACTGACTCCTGTCACCAGTGGCGGTAGCTACGGCCAGCACCCCAGACACACACCAGGCGCCTGGAACGGGATCCCGTGGCTGTGCTGAGCCCTGGGCCTGGGGATCTTCCCTCTGGGAGAAGAGTGAGCAGGCGAGGGCTGGGCCTGGCTACGTCCCCGATCCTCGGGCGCTGGGTCCTGGGGGATCTCCTGCTTTGATCCCGCATTGCCCCTTGATGCCAGGAACTGAGATGTGGGCATTCGGTGGCCTTGGTGCTGGTCTGGTGACTTCATGAGCTCACACCTTCATCTGGGAGGCAGGGGGCCCCCAGCACCCTGGTGAGAGTCCCAGGTGAAGGTGTGAGCACCCAATCCTGCAGAGCTTGGGGGTGAGAGGCGGGGGGGCCATCGCCATCCTGACTGTTCTTTCTGTCTCCCCCTGCCAGGTCCGGCCTCTTCGGCCTGCCCCCGTCCACTCCACTGCCCCAGGCTGAGGACGCCCCTGTCAATGGCTGCCAGGACCCAGCCGCCACTGAGGGGGACCCAGAGGCGATGCAGCTGGGAACTGGCCCGCCGCCTCCTCCTCCTCCTCCGCCTTCCTGCCCTGAGCCGCCCCCGCCCCTGGTGCCGCCGCTGCCCGCCGGAAGCCTGCCCCCCTTCCCGCCATATTTTGAAGGCGCCCCCTTCCCGCCCCCACTCTGGCTGAGGAACACCTACCAGCAGTGGGTGCCACAGCCACCCCCCCGGACCATCAAGAGGACAAAGAGGCGCCTGTCCCGCAACCGTGACCCCGGCCGGCTGGCCCTGAGCCCCATCTGCCTGCGGCCACGGCGGGTGCTCTGTGAGAAGTGCAAGAGCACCCTGAGCCCCCCGGAGGCCGGCCCCGCGCCCCCGGCCACCCCCCGGCCTCGCCGGAGACTGGGCAGCGGCTCCGACCCGGACAGGGAGCTCCGCAAACACGAGGAGCCGGACGGCAGGGGTGACGCCGCGGCCTCGGCCACCCCCAGGAGAAGCAAGAGGGAGAGGCGGGAGGAGGACCAGGCGCGGGTCCCGCGGAGCCCGGCCATCAAGATCTCCTACAGCACGCCGCAGGGCAAGGGCGAGGTGGTGGAGATCCCCTCCCGAGTGCACGGCTCCCTGGAGCCCTTCTGCCCGCCGCAGGCCCCGCAGGGCGCCCCGGACCCCGAGGCGGCTCGGGACAGGCCCCCCGACGGGCCCTCCGCCTCCATCCCGAAGCTGAAGCTGTCGCGGCCCGTGCCCCCCAGTGCCGCCCTGCCGCCCCCCAAGATCCGCCTGAAGCCCCACCGCCTGGGCGCCGGTGAGCAGGAGCCAGTCTACAGGGCCGAGCTGGTGGAGGAGCTCAACGGCCGTGGGCACGGCGCCCCGGCCAGCTCCCCTGCCCACCCTGCCTCCGGCTCTGCGCACGGGGGCGCCCTGGCGGACCTGAATTCAGGAAGCTCTGGGGAGGACGAGGACTTGAAGACGGGTCCCCAGGGCAAACACGGGCGGGACGGCCTGGCCTTTCTCGCCAGCTGCCCGGGGAGCGGGACAGGCTATGCCCGGGACTCACTGTGGAGCAGCGACAGCCTGGACGAGTCCAAGTCGTCCAGCTCGGAAGTCACGTCGCCGGACACGTGCGACCTCTCCTCTGGCGACGGGGTGTCGGTGCCATCCACGTCCACGCGAGCGGGGCAGACGGTCCCGCCCCTGACGGTCCGGCTGCACACGCAGAGCATCTCCAAGTGCGTTACCGAGGACGGGAGGACCGTGGCCGTGGGGGACATCGTGTGGGGTAAGATTCATGGTTTTCCTTGGTGGCCAGCACGTGTCCTTGACATCAGTCTTAGCCAGAAGGAGGACGGGGAGCCCTCCTGGCAAGAAGCGAAAGTCTCGTGGTTCGGTTCTCCGACGACATCGTCCTTGTCCGTTTCCAAACTCTCCCCTTTCTCTGAATCTTTCAAACTGAGATTTAACCGTAAGAAGAAGGGGATGTATCGGAAAGCTATAACCGAGGCCGCCCATGCCGCCAGACGCGTGGCCCCCAGATCAGGGAGCTCTTAACCCAGTTCGAAACGTGACTGGGGCTCCCTGACCAGGTGAGTGTGTGCGCGGAGGGTGGCCACCCTCTTGGCCATCCCCAGCGCGCATCAGAGCGGCTGCCCCTCTGCGCTGGGCCCTGCGGGGAGCGGGGAGGTCTCCCCCCCTCTGCCTCGCTGCCCTGAGGGGGGCCGTCCGGAAGGCCGCCCTGCATGCTGGCCGTGTCACCAGCTTCTCAGAGCACAGAAGACGTGCCTTAGAAGTAGCCAGCCAGCCGCAGCTTGTTCAAAGAACAGAGCTCCTTGGTGTTTTGTGACCGTTTTTCAAAATGCCCATAAAGGGGTTCCTTCCTCTGCCCGCCTTCGGCAGAAGGGGAGGTCCATTTTTTTTTTTAAATCATGTTTTTATTGATTTCAGGAAGGAAGGGAAACAGAGAGAGAAACCCATGAGGAGAGAGAATCATGGATCGGCTGCCTCCTGCACGCCCCCTACTGGGGATGGAGCCTGCAACCTGGGCATGTGCCCTGACCGGGAATCGAACTGTGACCTCCTGGTTCCTAGGTCAACGCTCAACCACTGAGCCATGCCAGCGGTGCATTTTGTAAAGGTGATGGTTTTGACTGATCTGGAGAGTGCAGGGAGGGGTTCCTCTTCTGTCACCGTTCGGGGGGAACTGGTCTTCCTCTTCCCTCCTGCTCCCACGCAGGTCAGGTGCCGTTCTGGGGTCTCCACTTGGCAGGAAGGAGCAAGGTCATTGAGCTGCCTACCCTCAGAGGTAGCCCCACCCCTCCACCTGGTGCCAGGGTAGACTCTCCTCCGTCTGCAGGTGGCTGGGTGCTCCAGGCTCTGGAGTGGCTCTGGGGTGGGGCTCTCACGCTCCGTCTCTTCCTGGGATGACTGTCTGGCCATGCACTTTAGAGACTCTGTGAGCTGGGGCCTGTCACCATGCGGGGCTGGAGGCGTCACCAATGGGATGTCTGTCGTCATCACGTGTGGTATTGGGACATGCATGGCCAAGGGGCGGAGGCCACCTGCCACGAGCCACTTTTGGGCCCCCCGAGATGCTGGGCGTGTCCCCATCTGATGGCCCCCACCAGCTGGTGCCTGGGTGATGGGGTGTGTCCGGGGGCCCCTGGCATGGCTGAGGACAAGAGGAGTCCTCCACTTCTTCCTCGGTCTTCGTGACCTTCAGATGACCTTGTCTGGCCTGGCCTGCCTGCTCACCCACCCATCTCTGCCACAGTTTCCCAGGTGATGAGCCATCAGGCCTCAGCAGGGCCAGCTAACGTAGGCTGGGGGAGGAGTTTGTGGGGCACCTGGCAAGCCTCACTGCTGCACCTTGTGCAGCGGGGATCCAGGTGGAAGCCATGCTGAGGGACTTGTCCCCACCCTGGCTCCCCATTTGCTTCTTACATCAGGCCTGATTACCCCTGAATTGCTCTCAGGAGTTTGGGCACAAACCTCTCCTCTCCCAAACTTGGCACATCTCCCGCCAGTTCTGGGCCTTCCCGTTGGGTGTGGGCATGGCCTCAGCCTGGCAACGTTGTGCCAGCGAAGGTCTCATGTGAGAGTTCCCCACGGGCAGGGTGGCGGGCTTGATTGAGGGGGAAAGTTGCCGGGAAGGTCAGCTGCCCTCCAGTCAGCTTCCTAGGCTGCCTTCCTGCTGTGGCTGTGGCTCCCCGGGGACCCCTGGGCTGCGTGCACATCCTGCTGGCCTGGGGACCGTCCCCAGGATCTTATCTGTCTCTGTGCTCTTTGCCACCTTGACCCACCCCTCTGCTCACACGAGGTCCATCCTGCTTTTGGCTTGCTCTGGAGCCCAAGCTGTCACTGAGGGGGGGAGGGGGGGAGTAGATCAGTCCTCAGAGTGACCTTCAGGTCCCAGGTCATGGTGAGCAGTTACAGGGGACGATGAGTCCACGCAGCATCAGCCCAAGGGCAGCTCGGCCCTGGAATCAGCCCCCCAAACCCTGCTCAGGGAACCCCCGTGCTGGGAGAATGCCACCCACTGGGTTGGGGGCTGGCGGCTAGTCAGGAAGCAGGAGGAAGAATCTTGCTGGGCAGGTTTGCCTGCTGAGGGCCTGTGCCCACAAACAGGTCTCTTCTGAGGCTCATTCTGGGCTCTGATTCTGGGGCTGTGCCCATGCCCCCCAGCAGTGTGCACAGCCCTGGGAGCCTGGCCTGCTAGGGTTCTCTCAGCCCCAAAGCACAAAGTGATTCAGCCCGATTGGCTCTTGGTCTCATGTCTGAGGATTAGGCTGTGAGTGGAAGTCTCCACCAGGCGGCTGACTTGCTGTGACCCCTGAGCCTCAGTTTCTCTCTCTGCATGAGGACAGTGGCCTCCTGGTGGGAAATTTGCTTTGTAGCATCAGCAGTGTTATGTGCTGGGGCCACCCCTCTGACCAGCTCTTGAAGGGTAAACAGGAACCCCTTTTCCTGAGGAGGGCGGGCTGCCATGGGTGAGGCAAAGGCCAGGAGCCCTGGTGCCTCCCTGACCTGCAGGTGAAATGCCATCCAGTGTCCCAGCCCCTCGGGCCAGTGGGAAATGTACAGGTTCCTTGTGAGCCGGGCGGGCCTCCCATGGAACCCAGTGCCCAGTCCTTCCTTCCCCGCCCCAGCGCCGGGGCTGCTGGCGGGCAGGGGGCTTTCCGGGTCCCTCACCGGGGAGACGGTCTGGCTGCCTCCAGGCGGGCAGCTCTGAGCGCTGCATTTTCTACGTCTCTGGCCAGAGTGTCTTCGGGGCCAGCCTCATCCTGTCTCACCTTCCAGTGACCACACGCTGGGTGTCTAGAAACAGCAGAAATTAATTCTCGTGGTTCTGGAGGCGGCTGGACCGTGCTTCCTGCAGAGGCTTGGGGTGTGGGGGGGGCATTTTTCTAGCTCTTGCGGGTCTCCAGGCGTTCCTGGGCCGGTGGTCACGTCACCCCAATCCTGGCCTCTCCTCCTCTGCAGAGTTGAAACCCTCTCCTATAAGGACCCTGGGACGGCATTTGTAGGCCCCTGAGTCACGTGGTCATCGCAGAGTCTTTCACACCTGCAGCACCTTCCCCGAAGGTCGCCTTCTGGTTCCAGTTTGGACCTGAGGTCTCGGGGCGCACACAGCTCCTGCGCTCTGCCATCCACTCCGCAGCTTCGTGGAGGGCTGGGGCGCAGCTCAGAGTCCCCAGCCTCTTTGACAGACAGCCAGCCGCCTGGGCCCAGGGGGGGGTCAGAGGTGGTGAAGTGGACGGGTTGTGTGCTGAGGGAGGGACCCTTTGTTCTGGAAGGATCCGGGTGGGGGTAGGGGGTCTGCAGCTTGGCTGTGCGCTCCAGATGTGGGTCCTCCCTCATCACAATGGCGCTTCCTACTGGGAACTGAGGATACAGATCAGAAGCATCAGCCGGGAACCTGGCGGTGTGACTGCCGGGGTGACAGACTGTGTGAATGTGGTGCTGCTGGTCAGACGGGGACCAGAGCGCCCAGCTCCTGCCTCCGGGTTTTGACTTCTTTGGCATGTTTTTTCCTTGAGCTGCGTGACCGAAACCAGCTCTCCTCTTCCTTCCAACTCTGAATACAAATGCATTTCTGCTTCCGAAGACGGCTTCCAGCTGACATCCACATTGCTTCCAGGGAGCCCAGGTCCTCTGGGAGGCTGTAATTATTTTGTTCCAGAAGGAAACCCAAGCCTGTAATTCCGAGCCTGCGGCGGGGGCTCGGGCCCTGTCCCACCTGTGGCTCTCGACACCGTCCTGCCGCCTCCGCCAGCCTAGAGAGGTCTGGGTGGCCAGTGGGGGCAGCGGCGGCCGCAGGGGCAGGGGCACAGCAACGCCCAGCTAGTCTCCCCGGGGTGTTTGCAGTTGCTTTTCTGGGGACCAGGTCTGTGGGGGAGGGGCTTTGGGCTGTCCTTGCCCACCAGAGCCGTCCTGCTGCTGAGGTGTTGACCTCACAGAGGAGTGCTTTGCCGGGGTCTTTATCCATCCGGGTCCCCCCACCTGCTTCAGATTCTCGTCGCTGGCCCCACTGGTGCCTGCACCCCAGAAAGGGTCAGAGGTCCAAGGGCACTTACGGGGGGTCAGTGGTGTGCTGCGCCGTCGCGTCCGGTCAGGACCCTTCCACGGGGCAGCAGCACGCTGCTAGGGACCATCTTCTTTGCAGCTGCCTGCCTCGGCCATGCTGGTCACCCGGAACTTAAGATACTGCCTTGCAGAAAGGCGGGGCGGGTCTGAGAGGGTCCCCGAACCCCTTCCAGGGCGACCGGTGAATCCGGCCTGAGCCTGTGCTCATTTCCGTCCATGTGGTGCCGCCCCGCCCTCCGCAGGGTGGGGAGAGAGGCCGTGCCTTCTGTTTCCAGGGCTGTGTTTGGGGGCCTTCAGCGGCTCCCTGCGGGCTCTGCCCACACTGTCTGCCTGAGGACAGTGGAGCTGGGAGCCAGGCCCAGCACCTCGCTCTGCTTGTCAGTGAGGCCTTGGGGGTTCTCACTCTGGACCATGGCTGCTCATTTGTTTGCTCAGAAACCTCACTGATATCACCCTGTGGTTTGGGGAAGCGGGCCTTGCTAGTTCTGGTCTTCAGCACTGAGAGAAGCAGGCCGGGCACCATCCCAGGCCCCTGTGCACTGGCTGGCCTCGCCCTCCTTCCCACCCAGTGTCCATGCAGCCCAGGCTCCTTGTGGGGGCAGGGGAGCCTTCCCTGGCACCCTCATCTTCTCAACCAGCCCCAGCTAGCGACGTGGGGGAGGGGAGCACAGCCTCAGCCAGTTTCACTGCGGGAGCCCT